TTATGGCAGAATGTTTAAACAGCACTAGAACTTGACTACTTCTGATGTKACAAATTAATATTTTCTCTTGTGCCTGCCACAGGTTTGCATGGCCAAAGGCGGTAAGAGCAATTAGACATCAAATTTAACATTATTTTCATTGATTATAGTAAGGGTTTTGGGCTCCCTCTCAGGGCTAGAACAATCATTAGTCCTTGTTTTCTTACTGCCTGCTTTCTGTCTGAGAATTTTAAGTGGTTATGCATACACATTCTTTGATATAGTAACCTCAAATAACTCCAAAAGTATGGAGTTTTGCTCAGCTTGCTTATTTAGAAATCTTATTTATTTCAATTGAGGTTAGACCTAGATTAAGCCTTCTTCCACAACTAGAAAAAAAGCTGCAATATCTAAAAATTCTAAAAGAAAATGCTTCCATCCAAATTGAGGCCAAGCCTTAAAAAGGAGAGAAGCATCGTCTGGAGGCTAATGTGGCTCTGGATAACAAATGTGGGAGATCCTTTCCTTCCTTTATTGCCAGCTTGGGTGTAAACAGAGGTGTTCAACGCTGGTTTTTCAGAAGTGTCGAACACCTGCTGTGTCTGCTGCACTTGGTGAGACCTGCAGCTGCTTTCCCCACGTTTCATTTGTGGCGATTGGCTCCGTGTCCAGGACGGCCACAGCCACCTCGACAGCGAGAGGACAGCGGTGAAGCCAATACTTGGGAAACCTCTTGTAAAATAGGAGGTGAAGTGACTTTAAAATCTTTTGGGAGATGTATGTTTTTTCATAGCACGAACTTCAGGATGAGACTGTATCATCTAAGTGCTCTAYAAGGATATTAGTATGATCTGCTTCTTGTAAAAAATAAGACAAGACTTTTGTCCTGATTGTAAAGGAGGCTGACTGTGATGGGATTAGTGATAGTTAAACACTTTTTTCCATGTTTACTCCGTTTCAGCCTTCATTCTTCCTAGCCGATATAATTTTTTACTCATTGTCTGTTTCTTCCACCAAAATCACAGTCTGGTGGAAATACATTCTAATACAGAAAAAAAAATAGATCAGTCGTAAATTATTGTACACAAAAATGCATTTTTTTTACCATACATAATCATGGCATATTATCTAGACTTCTTATTTTAAATTTAAAACCTGAAGCTCTAAAATTTTTCTATGCCATGGGTAGTTTGGGTTTTTTTCAAATGGAAAAAGTTTTGCTCCTTCCATGCATTCATGTCCCTGTAATAGATTCAAAAATATAAACAGGGAACAATTCATTTAAGAAGAGATAAAGATTGAGATGTTAGCCTTTGTACTGCAGAAGAGATTATTAAAATGAAAATCCAAACGACCAGTCAAGAAGAAAATGCCTTATCATTTTGTGTCAGCTTATATTTTATTAGCTTTGTATCTCCCTTCCCTTCAATGTTTTGATGTTACTAATGGGCAAAAAGAAAACTCTTAAAGTTTTCAGGAGGCAGAATAAAATAAAGATCACAAAAGGTTTTTTTTTTTTTTTTTTTAAGTTCAGATTTACTGTCTTGGATGTGGCTACCTGAAATACTTGACTTTCTTAGGACTCTAATGAGAGCATCCAGTTGTCACAGGGTATGGAAAAATAAACCTGGTGTCCAGCCTGTAGGCTTACTTTCCTCTGTACAATACTTTTTAGTGTTATAAAATAATACTGAGAACTGTTTTACCATTCCCATTGATTTTTGCTTATTGTAATTGCACTTTTGCAAAATAATTTCCTGACTGAGAATTTTCATACTTGTGGTTGGAAATGCAGCGTTATCCAAAACTAACTAATCCAAGCACAGGTACATACCATGAAACACTGTTGACTTGCGCAGCATGTGGGTCACACCAGGACCATGGAGAAATGTTACACAGTTTCCAAATTCGACAAAAACTGGGCATTTAATTTTTTTTTGCGAGCCTGGGGGGCTGTGGCTAGAAATGGGTGGCTGGTTTTCCGAACAGAACCTCTGTCTGCATCTCCACCAGCAGAGCCAACAGGCCCCCAGCCCCTGCTTTAGCTCTCAATTGTTGTGGCAAGGCTTGCTTTAGTCTGGGTAAACCTTTGCTCACTCCTGCACCCTTGGTGGCGTCTCCTGGACCACAGTCAGGCAGTGTTTGGGACATAACCAGGTGGGTCCAAGCCAAAAGAGAGTCAGGAACACAATGGTGATAAAAAGGGTGCACAACAGCTGCAAGGCATTAGTCCCATATTTTCCATTGATATAGAAAAGTCTGTAATTTTTTGTTGCTTATGTAAAAGTTTACAAGAGCATAAGCCTACAGAGCATAAGCACAAGTCTGTAAGATCCAGTGATTTTTCATGCAGCCAGAGCAGGCATCTACATACTCTCATATCCTGCCTCAGTTGCTCTAAACTTTTACTCATAAGATAGAAAAAAGATATAGCTATTGCTATTCTTTGCATTCCTCTTCCCTGTCTAATCTCATCTGCATCCCAATATAGAAGAACACAGACATGAAATCAGAATGTTTTCATCAGTCATTCACAGCAAAAATCTGTACCAAATGTTGGACATGCACAAAAAAAAATCTTTTCCCGCCTTGGTGCGTGAGTAACACTTTCTATGATTTACCCATAAATTAACTGGTGAGGTGCATCATTTATAGTTAGCAAAAAAGTGATTTGCTGAAGCTTTTGCTTCCAAATTTGACTGCATTAAATTACCATTCAGTCCAAAATAAAAACATGCTGTGCAGAACATGGTCAATAGGTATATTTTTAATATATTTATATTTTAATATATTTATATGTTACATATACATATATTATGTACACGTAGACATGAATATATGCATATGTGTATACATATGTTTGGAAGCTTCTTTTTCTTCTCACACTGTGACAAAAGTTTATCCTCTTCCACCTTCTGCTCCTGATATTTTTCTATTTGAAGTCTTTTAATTGCTGTGTTAACAGGAAAAAAAAAAGACTTGAAATAAGAGCAGGGGACCTATCAAATGGAAAACACACTATAAAGACAAACACAGGGAGAAAAAAGGAAAAAGAATGGGACAAAACAAGTCCCATATTTATGCACAATTAGACCTTGTGTCTAACTTGTGACATTGTGAGTGTTGTCTCGGTACTCAATGTAACCATTCAGTTCACTGAAGTCACAGAAAATACCTGTCCTTCTTTTTGTCTTAATTTTAATTTTTAGCAGTCATCTGTGCTTCTTAGGACTGTTTCAGCTCATTTTCCTTAAAGAAACCAAAGAAGAGCTCAGAATATGATGGGGCAACCATAAAACACAGAGGTCCTGTGGGAACTGTGCCCTGAGTTCTTATGTAGGTTAGATGTCATGATAGTCAAACTATCTCAGCCCAGGTAGAAATGCAAAAATCCCTCACTTTTTGGTACTTTCTTATTCATCTCAGCATAAATTCAGTAAGTGTCCCATAAACTGCTCTATAATGKTTTGATACCAAACTCATAAAAACTCACAGAAGCCTTCCCAGTGACTATGCTGAGTACTGGATTGGGATTTTTCTGTGTGGTTGTAGTGAGGATATCACAGAAAGAAGTGGCACATTCCAGAAAACCTCAGCGTGATTTGGCTGTGTGCCCTTCAGAGGCATTCCCTGCCTTTGTTTGGAGTGGATTAGGGTGTATACACAGATCATTACACAGAAGGAAACTCTCAAATAAATCAGACTTTTATTTTTGCCCCAGGTTGACAGTCCTTCTCCCCTTCTGTCCGTTCCATATTGCATTTATGTGCCAACACAAAGCCATGGCTGGCAGCTGAGCTGCTCAGCAGCTGCAGAGCTCTGGAGTTTTGGACAGTTTTCCTGGCTCTCCTAATGCTTTGCCGTGTGGTYTGGGGATAGCTCCTCCTTGCCTCCACTTACCCATTTCCCCAGAGTAATAAAGAACATTAATCATCACTGTAAGCTGTACTGAAGCCTAGAGATGAAAAATGCTTGTTATTAAGGATATTCATTTATAAGTTATACATTTTTCACTTGAAATGTGTAACGTATAACCACTGTTGCATTCAGTCAGGGCTGGAAAAGGTTTTTTCTTTTTTTTTGCCAGAAGAACAGATTCCTAGAGGTAGAAAATTTTACAGAAGTAGCTTCTAGTCTTCTCTGATACATACATAACCTGCATATTACTTTGAATTAAATTTCTGTAAAACATTTGTCTGGACCTAACGTTTATACACTGCATATTTTATTTCCTAAACTTTTATTTTAAATTAAATTTTCCTATTTTTTTTATGGGACTTTGAACTTGTTTACAATTACAAATTTCATTTTTGATTTCCCAGTGATGTTTTAAAAGAGCAAATAAAGCCACAAATTGCAGGGTAATGCACTGCARTTCTTTCCTCCCTTCTCGTGTTGAAAACCAAAGTGATCCAGTTGCAATCTCATGGGAAGAGAAATCCACAGAGCCATAACACACACAAATCCAAACAAACCGTCTTTGACTTTCACAATTAAGATGCAGATAAGAGAGACTACCTCAGCAGCAGTCAGCATGGATCACATATTCACTGCTRTAGTGCTGTCACCTCCAGTTACCCAGAAATCAGGGTTCGAAGGCTTAAATTTAGGGTTTGTGTTAGCGACCAATAAATTCTAGATCTGTAAATTGTTTTGTAAAATGGTTAATTTTCTTTTTCCTCTCCCACCACGTTTCCCCCAGCACAACGCTCAATATAGATGCGCAGCCTTAATTGGTTTAGTTGCAAGAAGATAATCTTTTTTTCTCCCTTTCTCACTGTTGCCTGTTAGCTTAAAGGCTTTTTAGCTGAAGGTTGATAATTATCACTGAGAAGAAACTAGCACATCAGGAGTTCATTTTCTATCTTAGCACTTCTGGCGCTCCTTTGAACTCCTCGCACCAAACCCGTGTTCCCACTCTGTCACTTTCCTCCCTCCATCATAAAAAGGTCTCGGCAGCCGGCGGCTCCAGCCTTTGCTGGTGGGCAGAGGACATCGCTTCTCCCCAGCGCTCCTCCAGCATGGACAAATTGCACGAGACATTGATAAACATGGAAGATGCTCTGGGTTCGGAACATCCCTCCTGCTTATCGTCCTGGGACTGGAAAAGCTCTGCAGGGCCCTTCGAGCTGCACCCCATCTCACCCCCGCACAGCTTGTCCCCGACGCCCTCCTTCGAGTCCTACTCATCATCCCCGTGTCCGGCGGCGGCAGAGACCCCCTACGGCAGTGGGGGCAGTGGCCTGGTGGGCTACGGCCTGGTGGACTTCCCCCCTGCCTACCTGGGCAGCCCAGGGCAAGCGAGGCTGCCCAAGGGCACCAAGGTGAGGATGTCAGCCCAGCGCAGGAGGAAGGCCAGCGAGAGGGAGAAGCTGCGCATGAGGACCTTGGCTGATGCTCTGCACACACTGCGGAATTACCTGCCCCCCGTGTACAGCCAGCGGGGMCAGCCCCTCACCAAAATACAGACCCTCAAGTACACCATCAAGTACATCAGCGAGCTCACCGAGCTCCTCAACAGCGTCAAGCGCGTGTAGAGCCCGCCTGGAGCGTCGGCCCCGTCACGCTCGGGGTCTTTACAAACACAAAACCATCAAAATTTCTTCCTGGTCAGAGTACAGTGGGGCACAGTGCGAGAGGAGGACGGCGTGAGGGAAGGGGAGCCACCGCTGTACCTGGGACACGATGCTGGAAGGTGATGTAGGATCGCCAAAAACCTGAGCTCCAGGTTGCTGAGACGGAAGTCTTGCTATTTGCCTTTTATTATTTTTTTTAATAAGCTTTTGAGAAATATTAAACCTAGTCTGATGCAAAAGTAAAAAAAAAAAAGCCAACTGACTTTCCTAGGATTTACATATCATTGTTCTGATTGAGCTTGTTTTATAAGGACTGTAGTAAAWCCATAGGTGTTAAACTGAATTTTAAAAAATGACAACTTTATAAGAATACTAAGTGTATTGATTTGTAGGCACTTTAATAATAGGATGAGGAAGACCATGTGTTTAGTTGAAGTATTATCTATTTATCCACATTTCCACTGTACCGAAAAATCAAGAAACTAAGTAATAGTGAGAACAGCTTTACATGTAAACAAATAAATATGTGTCATAGTCTGTATCCTGTATTATAAATCTGATTGATAGATAAGTAAACTCTAGCAATGACTGCTAAATATTGAAAATGAAATACAAGCAAACTGACATGTTGTACAGATAAATTGTTGTTAAGTCCTCTCTTCTTTATTAATATATACAGAAGCATATAACTTTTCTGTATTTAATGTGTAAAACCCCCCTTCTTCAATGATGATAAATGATGGAGAACATTTTTACATCAAACTTTGTGACAAATAAGATTAGGTTGAGCTATCATCCTACTTTCTGATATGAAATAAATTGACTCATGTTTTGCAAAGATGCAAAGTTTTATTCTCAAGGTGTACTGAAACTTAGGAGGGCTGTGGTAATCAGGTCTTTTCGTCCTGATTAGAAGCCGTCAGATCAGCTTTTTCCTACAGCCAGTCACTGTCTTGTAACACACACACACAAAACCTTTAAAGAAAAACCTCAAATCAACRAAGCAAACTAATGAGGATGTAGTTTTAATCTTTAATTAGTTTGACTTTCATCTGATGGACATCACAGAGGTTTTACCACACCAAAAGTASGTGTTGCTTTGTAAATCTCATTGCCTGGCTGATTTGTGAGGCTTGGTCTATGAAGCAAGCCGGAGAGGAGCAAACCCCAGTTGTGGGGAGCTGATTAAGCCATATTAACTTTTTCTGCCCAGGGCCATGTAAGGCACAGAGAGCACAGCAGCTGGAAGGTAACAGATTTGTCTCCCCACAGATCGGGGTCTCTGTGTGGGGCAGATGGTTTASGTTTGTGGATAGATCCTGTAGCAGAGCCTCACAAAGCTAAAACTTTATTGCATCCTTCTCTCTTTTCTTTTCCTCTGCTTGTTTGGAAAGAAACACAATCATCTTTGYATGCTTTTTTCTTCCAAGGATCAGCCTAAGTTGATTCAGTGCTCTTCTCACGTGATATGTACATATTGGGGCAATCAGAATGAAATCCAGCACTATCCCAAAAAAGCAACTACTCTCAAATTTATGCAGGTAGTACTGTCACTCAGATATAACCACATYTAAGCATATCCTATATGCTTCTGTCTGTAATCAACCCATGTTAGATTTGTTACACACTTTAGTGTTTCAGCAAGAATATAAGCAGAATATTTTTTTAAAGCCCTATGAAATTGTCAAATTAGAGATATGAAGTGGCAGCACAAATGTCAGCAGAGCATTCCTCAGTAAAAACCTGCACAGCTGATCCAGATTTGTGCAGATTTCCCACATAGGGAAGGTCAGTCTGGATCTATTTTGCAAAGGATTTTGCACCAGACCCATGGGACCTTGCACAGAACCAKACCTGAAAGCCTGATTCCACATTCTCTCTAAAAGACCCACAAGTYGATTCTTGGGAAGATTTTTAAGGTTAATGTTTATCTTTACCCTTAAATGTTCCACACYTGAAACTACAGTTAGAGACTTKGCTGTCAAGCTATGGAAGCCTATARGGTCACAGTTAAAGCAGAGATAGAGGSAGTTAAAAGCATCTGCTTTCATTTGTATTTAATTTATGACCCTGGCCAGTTACCCAGTGCTGCTGCCTCAGTTTACCCATCTGCAAACAAAGCTGGATAACAAACGGCCTCAGAAAGATGTTGCTCACAAAGTTCAGTGATCTATATGGAGAAAGGGTCCCAGGAGGAGGTACTCTGCACCTTGGAGAAGTGGCTCAGTCAGCATTTCCCTCCACCCCAGGAAAAGGAGGAGGTGATGACCCTGAATGAGCTGGGCTGTGACTTTTTAGGTGCCTGCAGAGCTCCTCCGTCTCCTTGGAAGTCCAAGGTGGAGCAACAGCTCCAGTGATGACCAAGGTGAGGCCATGAGTCTCAGAAGAACATTGKATTGCCTTGGGGTCAGTGAACCAGACCTTGGCTGTGCCCACTGCCCGGYCCCAGCGTTCCACTGCCCCAGGCTCAAAGGGGAGAGGGCTGATTGGAAAAGCTGACCCTGGGGAARGAGCTGCAATAAATCATTCCCTGTGCCACAGTGGGGCCAAAGCCCACATCCACAATGAAGATAGTTTATTAGAATAGTTTGTACCCATGCACCTTTTAATTTGTTTGATCCCCTTCCAGGGGATGTCTCCTTTCACCTGTGGAGGAGGGGAGCAATGCAGGTTGAGAGTAGGAGACAGAAGGAGATTTAGCACCTGCCTGAGACTGAAGGCTTCCAGCATGTGTCAGGTTTGCTCCTCCCCTCCCAGAAAGAAATGAATTCTTGCTCTGCCTAACATAAAACATCTCTATAAGCCCAAACTTTTGTAATTTTTCCCCTTGGCATACGTGTTTCACTGATCCAGAGAAAATAATCAGAATTATTGTATTCACAGTACAAGATAGTACAAGGCCTGCTGCTGTTAAATGTTGGATTTTATTATTCTCAATAAAATTGAATACAGTTAAGGTTCCTCTTCTTTTTCCTTTAGGCCCAGGAGTTTAGGATACGCAAGTGACATGAAAAAGATCAAGTTCCCTACTTACAGTTATGAGATTTAACTTTCAGAACTGTAAGGTCCATAAAGCTGTGTTGAATTCTAACAGCAACACCACAATAATCTGTACAAGAGAGGCAAAAATTTGAACCTCAGTCTGAAAAAGCTGTAGAAATCACAGATGTAGAGAACATCTCTCACATACATCTCAACACAATATGTTAAAAAATACATGGAGATAAAGGCAAAGTAGCTGAAAGGCCATGGCTGAAAAATTAAATTACAYTCTATCTCAAGGATAGGGTTGTTCATCATGCTAAAATGATASAAGAGAGGGAACTGGTGTTAGTCCTACATCATTAAATTAACTCTTCTGTTCCCAAGAGCTCACCCTTTTGCAGGTTAGCATGCCACTGAAATTCCCTACTAACTTGGAGAGCAGTATATGGATCCTAAAGAGGAAGMCATTACCACTAAAATATAGTTCTCTACTGCATTCAGTCCTCTCAGGWACATGAAATCATGCTTTCATATGTGATACTAGCCACAAAAATGAAAGGGCAGCAGAACAGTCCTCAAATGSTAAAGAGGAAAGGGATAAAATACATTATAAGATCTTCCACAGAAATTAATTAATGGAAATGGATTTTAGAACCTCAGGAAAAGCTTTGAGATACAGAAGCCTGGCAATTTGGTTGAACTGCCACTTCTTCATTCTCAATTTATTGATGAAGTCATTACCATCAGCTGCTGCTCTTAAGTACATTTTTTTTTGCCTTTTACGCAAGTATTTCCAGACTTTAAAATATGCACTTTTCACTGAGCCTGAGARAAACAGCCCAGAAGCAAGGGGGCAAGAGGGAAAGAGAATTGAGCAAGTGGCACCAAATCAGGTGAGATTCCTGGGCCCCACCAGCTGTTTGCTGAGCTGTTCTTCACGCCCAGAGTTGTGCCTTTGCCTCCYCTCTGGGTGAATTGAGGGGGAACCAGGTGTAACCACAGAGACAGAGTGCTAAACGCTTCAGAAGCCAGGGAAAAGAGAGATTCCAGCCCCACATCTACCCAAAACCTTTAATTAGGGAAGAAAGAGGCAGGGCAGAGGAGGCAGTTCCATGTAATGGATTTTACACCAGTTAACTCCTTTGGTGCCACGAGCCAGGCAGTCRGTGCTGCTGGAGGGAGCAGTTGCTGATTCCAACGATATCAGAATAGATTTGGGGTTTATTTTTCTGCYTCAGGGAGCAGAGGCTGCTCTGGGGCAGCTGGAAGGATATGACACTGCTCTGTTGAGCAGGAGGCACAGCAATGCAGAGGAGGGTGTTAGCCCAGGGTTCAGGAGGTGCAGCCTCACACTGCAGGGAAGGCTTTCCACCTGAATCCAGGACAACTCCTCTGCCTGCTCTGTACAGGATACAGCAGGGTGTTTCTCTGCCAGCAGCTGCAGATACACCTTGAGGATGGGAAGGAGGCCAAACACCCTCTGGAGGGTAAGAATAGGGACCTTGGGGAGAATATTTCCCAATGGTGAGAGGATCACACGAGGAACAAGCTCCCCAGGCAGGCCCCAGCTCTGACTCCACAGAGCTCACCCCCACCCCCCAAAGCAGGGGGAGCCTGGGCTGCCCGCACACACACGGGGCTTTGAAATTCTATGCTGAGGAGCACCACGTAGGTGCCAAGAGGTTTTATGGTGACACATTTGGGCTGCACATAGGTGTGCTTGGGACAAAGAAAACCTCCTGCAAATGGGCTTCAGCCAGTTCCTTGGGAGAGCTGCTTATCTGGGAGCTGTCATATCCCCTAGGACTAGGGAAGCCAGAAGCTATCCTTCCTGGCAGTAGCTAAGACATCCCCCACAGGAATATAAATACACCCCAGCTTCTAAGGAGCCAATATCTGGCTGACTTTTTCTCCCAAAATTATCTTCTGTGCAACCCCAAAAGCGATTATTGCCTTCAGCAGACAGGCAAACAGAAAGAGAATTCACAGATCCCAATAAAGCAGTCGGTTTCTAATGGTCTGCAGAAGCCAAGTCCTTCTGAACCCCCACCCCTGCTCAAGCCCCTGACTTTTCACTTCCTTACACACCAAAATCAGCCCAGGCTTGCTGTCTTACAGTACTTGATGTCATGATAAGGAAAAAGACTCGCCTTATCCATGCTTTAAAGCATTTCTTTCCAAGCACATGTCCTTCTAGCATTCTAGCTAACACTGTTTAGGTGTTTCGGGACTCACAGGCACAAATAGAAGCAGAAATGAAACAGAAGTAGCTTCCAAAACATAGAAATAGACTTGTGGCAGATCCAAGACTTGAACATCTTAAGTTTTCCAAACCAGTAGAGCACGATCAGAACATGTTTTCCTCTGGTTAGAGGTGCGTAGCATTTACTGAAGAAATTGGCATTTAAAAGAAAAAACAAAGGAATATCCCAAAAAGAGAAAAGTAATTGGGCCAAAAAAAAAGTAAATCTCAGTTTTCTTAGTTTTTCAGTATTAATAGTAAGTTGTTGTTGCTTTAAGTCACCAAAACAGTAAAGTTTTAAAATACTAGCTGTCATTGAATATAAACAATAGCAAAAATGAAACTTCTGCCTTTCTATCAGTGACCAGATATAAYGAGGTCACTTATTAGCAGTGACTTATCAACACTTATTTGAAATGGAAATAACTATCTGTAGTACATTGCTGTTATTGTTCCTATTTTCCTATCAAAACAAATCACACCAGACTTCTCTTTGCCCTTACATTTTTGTCATTCACCTGTTGAAATTGCAGAAGACGTTAAGCATAAACAAAGAAGATGGATCTGCTTTCAACTTGTGTTAACAGGGATATAAAAATAACATCCCAAATACCAGGGGGAAAGCATGTGGTCATAAAATATCCACTTAAAAGGCAAGGAGGTGTTGATAAAACACTTGAAGATTTCTTTTCTTTTTTTTTATATATAACCAGGAAGGCAGTTCCTGAATTTTAGGGACACCTCTGAGGTAAAGAGAGTACTACTCTCATGTCTTTAAAATATTTTACTGATATTCAAATGGATTTTGTATAACTCAGAGCTTGTTGGAGCATCAGACAAGAAGCTTTATATAGATCCTAGTCCAACCATGGAGGGAAATGTCCTTGAATTTTCCTACATATCAAAAATGTTAATAGATGATTCTTTACATATTGCATCCTTCAAAAAAGCAGTAAACAAAGCTTCTAAAATAGCTGAAGAGTAGAGCCACACTGTACCTGGGCATCACCCTGCTTTTTTACAGCTCTTAAAAGCCCAGCAAAGGATAAAAAAATCTCAAGGTATTGACTAAGTGTATGAAAATCAATGAGGATGTCTTAGACAAGACTGTAAATACCAGATTTCTATTCTTGATGATGCCCTTGAGTCTTGGTTTGAAGAAAAAAAAACTGAAGACCGAGGAAGCCACAGCCAAGACAGAGTCAACAGTTCTGCAATAGGCTGCCCAGCTGCAGGGTTAATTCTCACAGCAGCCTCTAATTTTTGTACTTTTCCCCCACACAAATGTAAGAGAAGAGAAGGTGGCTCAGGCAGCTCAAGGCTGTCTGTGCTGTGCTGGTAGAGCACTGTCATGGCAGATAAAAATTGCCACTCTCAGCTGGAGAAAACACTGCTGAACAGTCCCATTTCTGGGGGACAYAGTCAGCACCATGCCAGGCACAGGGAAGTCACCACAGCCCTGAAAGTGCCCATGGTTGTGTTCTGTCCAGTGCAAAACCCTGGCAGCACATCAGAGGCATCTCCCTCCATTTCTCCATGGGTTTTCCTTGCACACTGAGCATTTCCCAGTCCTCAGATCACTGGGCCAGTGCAGGGGAAAGCCCTGGGCACCAAGTCACTGACTTGTCAAGTTTGCTATCAGGCTTATGTGTTCTGCATTTTCCTGCTATCCCCATGTTGACATTCCTCAGTATCACAGCCCCATGGCTTGAATCTTCATCTACAACAGGAGCAGCAAAATGAAATCTTTGTCACAATAGTCTTCTCTACTGGAAATGTCTTTATATGTTCCTCACTGTGAAGCACACACTGTCATTTTTGGAAAAATGTGTAAGAAATTTCTTACAGCTGTTCTTAGCAGGCAACTGGAAGACAAACTCAATCATGAGCTGCAATTACAGCATAAGCTGTTTAGTGGGATCTCTGTACAGGTAGCAACAGAGATACAACCTTTTCAACTTCATGCCTTCTTACAACGTGCAAATACATTTACAAAATACTTTCTTGCTCAAGTTAGCCTTCACGGAAATTTCCTGTTTTATAATTCTCTTTAAAGTTAAAAAGCAGACACCCATTATTGTATATTTACCCCTAAGGGATCAYGATTCACACTAAGCAGAAGTTTTCCTTAGAATGGGAAAACACAATATTGAATCCAAAGTGTTTTCACACCACTGGTTCAGCTKCAAAGAAGAAATCAAGAAATTTTTCACCCATAAGAAACCAATCAACAAATCCCAGGAATATACGACAGGATCKCCTAAGCATTGTAGTCTCTAGTAGGGAAGAATCCTAAACACTTTGCAGACAGAGTYCATGTACTGTTACAAGTCTTTACTAAAAATTATTTCCTTTTAAGCTGGCAGCAAACTCAGCTAAGCAGCCACTGCTTCTACCTGTGAGTTATTTCACCCACCTAGGGAAGGCAACTTGGCACTGCAGAGCCACAACACTCCTGCAAGAAACACAGTTTACAGCTTTCCTGTCAACAGCCACCACATGATCAAGGATGTTCATCCCCATCTTACTTCAAAAAAACCCCACTATCTTCACTGACATTAAGTTCCCTGTGGTCTTTGTTCATACTGAAGCTTAAAAAACCTCAAAGTGATTTACAATTAACTTCACACCTGTTGCCACCTTCCTCCCCSACCTCAAAACAGATGCTTCCAACTGGAGAGCAGCAGAAGTTTTGGACATGTTAGCTGAACAGACTAGATCAGATGAACACACAAAGTTTAWTGCTGTAGAGGAACAGAAAAAAACAACACATGAATTTAAGTTAGAGTTACACCCAATGCTGGGTTACTGAGCCTTGGGCAGCAGACACTGCCAATATATTTTCCCAGTAGATATTGCAGGAGCAATTTTACTGRTGAATGGGGGCAGCAGGCTGTGATTGTTTCAGCCACCTGACTGTAACTCATAAAACAGAGCAGGTCATGTTCAGTCTGTCAGAAGTCAGAGCATTCACCTGCAGAGGAGGAGAGATACACACGAGTCTGTTGTGTCACAGCAGCAATACCCTTGGTGTTCCAGTGGTGAAATTTCAGAGTGACACCAACCTCTGCTGGMTGCTTTCCTTCCTGAAAACCACTGGTCCAGATGACACCTGCCCATGTGGGTGTGCACTGTGGGCTGTAAGACATGTCAGCTTTTAATTTCCTCTACAGAGTATTGTGAGACTAAAAGTCTGTGACCTGACACAGCTCRTGAGAGCACGTGCCAAACTGCTGAGCAAAGACTCTGGAGAGACTCAAGACATGCCTGTGTTCTTACCAAGTCTGTGTTTCCCAGGATCGCATCTCCTTGGACAAAAAATGTCCAAAGGCTGTTGCTTCGTGTTGCAGATCACCACACTGCAGTGGAAATACAGCTACAAGACAGGAACATGATGTTTAGGGAAGTCTTCTTTGGAATCCCATATACACTGACCCCAAAGGATATGAAGGCAAGGAGGGGGTTGGCTTACTCTCCCAGGCAACTAGCAATAGGACAAGGGGAAAATGGCCTTAAATTGCACCAGGAGCAGTTCAGGTTGGAKATKAGGTAAAAGTTTTTTCACTGAAAAYRTGGTTARSMWTWRRAMMRSCYYCCMARGRAAAGTGGTGGAGTCACTRTCCCTGGAAGWGCTCAAAAATGAGYAGATGTGGCACTTTACATTATGATTTAGTGGGCATGATGGTATTCAGTCAAAAATTGGACTTTAGGGTCTTGGAGGTTATTTTCCAACCAGAATGAGTCTATAATTTTGTTCTATGGACTGAACACAAGTGGCTAGTCTTTAGTCACCCCTCCCAGAGTGTTTTGCCTTCAAGGCAGTGGCCAATAGCCCCAGGCAGCAGCTGGCCAGCTGAGCCCTGACACAGCACTGGCTGCACACACAGGGACAGCTCATGGCAGAATCTCTCACCTGCTCTTGCAGCAGAGATGTGCTCTGGACRAAGGTGAACATCCTCACTTCAAATCTCTTTAGGTGCTGAGGAAATTTTACCCTGAGRCTGTGATCGACTTTGTGGAAGACAGTTCTGTAGGAATCTTGATTGTTCTCACACCTGTTTGGGAAGGTGAGAGAAAATATAATTAATCTAAATCTTCAACCAGCTCTTCAAACCAAGCAAAGAGGTGAAATACAGAGGAGCTTCCCTCTCCATTTTCCTTGGGCCATAGGGGAATGAATAAAGTCTCACCAGTTCATGATYCCTGCTTTTGGCCACAGTCAGGGCTGCTTCTTGCTCTTTCTTTCCAGCCAGAACTATTATCTAGAAGCACTTCTGGCCACTCCCATGACCTGCTGTCCCCAGGAGGCACAGCCACCATGCTGACACCAACATGTGCCCCACAGCCTGGCAGCAATTCCATCCAAGCTGACCTCTGCCTCTCTCCCTTTCCCACACCTAAACTAYAGCATCTTGTGCTGAGCAGTTACCAAAGAGAGAAAAGAAGCCCTCCTCACCCGTGTATGAGGATGTGCCACTGGGGAAGGCTGTCCTGGCTYTGGGAGTTGGTAGCCCAACAATCCTCCAGATTTAAGTCCAGTCTTGCATCTTTAGGCTGGAGCAGTTCAACTTCAAAATAGAGGGCATCCCCCAGGTATTTCACCACAGGATATTCTGATTCCTGGTAGAGTTCTGAATAGGATTTCTCTGCAAGAGAGTATTGATATTAGAGGTTCCTTTTGATGGAATGGGTATTCACAAACTTTCTGCTTCACTCTTTTTTTTTTTTTTTTCCCCTACCATTTACTCTGGCACAGCAATACTAAAACCTGGGACAGCACAGAAATGTCAAGAAATGGGGATAGAATGGCAAGAAAGCAAGAATCCACAACGAAAGCAAAAATCTCAACCATGTTCCTTGGCTCTGAGGATCCAGAAGTGAGACACTCCCTATGCTAAAAGACATTAGAGTAAGATTTTAATTGAAAATTGTCTCAGTAAAGGTACTGAGAAGGGAAAATCAATTAGAAACTTCATCAAGGTCACTCCAGTCAGGGTGAGTGTTTGGTTCAGGCTTCAGTCAGCCCTTTCTGCTGGCAGAGGTATCATTTTACAGCAAAAACTCATAAACATTACCTTTGAAAAGCTTCAATGAAAGAGCGAGACAGCCAAGCCCTGGCTTTACACTGGGTGCTGTGTTCTTAGATTCATATTGGACTCCAACAGYCTGCCTGACTGCATACGAGCAGAGAAATTGCAGCCTGGGAAAAGAGGTTTAGCGTTAAGGTTTTTACAAACTAAATAACATGTGTGACCTTTTTTTTAGGGAGTGACACTCACCTGTACACGGGTGTGTCATGGCCAGGTCTGAAATAGAGCACCTCATTTTCATATATCAGAGCTGTGCTGTTGAACTGAAAGGGGTACATCATTACAAACAGGACAGTCACATCAGAGTCCGTGTTTGGCGCAAAATCTGCATCCCTCCACTTGACTGGCAGAACTCACTGAGCTTAGAAATAGTCAGAAATCACTGGCCACCAGCCCAGTGCCCACTGCACTAAAGCTGAGCATGGCTGGCTGCTATGCCATAGGCAAGAATAAARTTTATTAGCTTGAATATGACTTGACACCCTAGAAAGGGAGTGCATGGGGACTGAGAAAAACCATCAGCTGTTTCTACTGAATGAGGGAGTAGAATGRAATGCAACGCTGCTTTATGAAGAAAACTGCTTTATGATGATCTGAATTTAGGTATGTTCTGATTCTTTGTTGTTTTGCCTGTTTTCTGTTTGTACAGTGTTTTGTGGCAGGAACAGTACCCAACCCTAGTATTTGGCCCTGCAGTCATTAACAACACCCAACCAATTTCTGCAAGGTGTRCAAGCATACCTCACCAGCACAGACYCKCATTCAAGCCCACTGCTAAACAATTCAGAGGTGTCARACTGAAGGCTAGTTTTAGAAAGCACCTCTGACCTTGAAAAAACATTTTTACTAAATAAAAACTTTTGCTCAACTGAATTTAGTATGCTCAGAAAGAGCAGAGATGTACTACTATTTCAGCTGTGACTTCCATGCAGCTTCTGCTCTCCTCTGAACCTCTGCCAGTTTTAGCAACAATCCTACCCCAAAACAGAGAAAACTTAATGGGATTAAGTATTTACCTTTCTACTTGTTCCACAAGTATTCACACTGAACTTGAAGGTTGCAGTCTTCTCTGTCACCAGACTGGGTTTGCACTCTCTGTCCCTCAAGACAAGCAGACCAGTGTCCAGGTCTTCACCCCCTTCCAKTTTTATTGCAGTAACAATCACAGTGCCATTGGGCAGGCATTCTGAAAGAGAAATAGACATTTTCATACAAATCAGGATTCAAACTCCTTTTGTAGCCTAACAACAAAGATGCTCTGTATGGATTTTCTGGCAAGTTCTTTTGGCAATTCATAAGGAGCTCTCATCCTCTTCAAAAGGATTTTTCTAGCCAAGATATCCAGTATGTTTAATACCAATGAGTAGCTTTAGAATGACTAATTTATGTGCTGATTCTCTCCACATCCCACCAAAACCCCAACTCATTCAACTCTCAAAACAACCACAAAAAAAAGCCTTTAAAAAAGCTCCTTGATTTTGGAGGTGTAAGGGGAAGTGGAGTTTCCCACCTCCTTCCCCTGCTCCTGTGCTAGGCAAGAAAGTCACTCCAATATTTAATTTGACTTYCCTCAGGGCATATTAACTGGTAGGAAATCTGACAGGTAAATAGACTGCCACACAACTATAAATCCTAGAAACATTTCACACTGTGTGGCTTAGTTTTGCAACTCAAATAGCATTAAGAGCTAATCCYCAATGTGCTATTACGTATTAGCTCCGATGGTGAAAATATGCAGGAAACTGAGAAGTTCCTCCTCTGAGCCAAGGTGATGCCATCCTTCAGGGTTAAGTAGAGAGAAGCCTTTATTGCAGAGGTATGAAAACCCTAGAGATGACAATCACAGGTTAAATAAGACAAAGAAGACACACTGTTTAACTAAAGCATCCAAAAATTAAGAGGGCAGGTTGTCACAAGCCAAAGGTAATGCTGCTTGAGCAAAGCCAAACCCACAGGATGTGTCTTGTTAACCCAGAAGCTCACACAATGAGCTTTTTCACTTGTTTTTCAATAGAACGTAACGCAAACTCCATTGCATGTATAGCTGTCATTAAAGATGCTCAATCTTCAAGTAAACACAGAATGTGTTTCTTTTTTCCTTGCCTCTTTCTGCCAACATTAACCAAAAGAAAGTTTTCTTACAAAGACAGAAAATAATCCTCCATTGTACTTTTGAAGGCTCAAAGAGAAGTTTTACTTTGCTTTCAAGGATATTTAGGGTCATGCTGACATCTCACAGCTAGATGATGCCTTTTAGTTGCTACAGGTTGGGAGCCTTACCTCATAGCTCACATGGGAAGAAAGGAAAGGGACAGAGATCATCARGTGAGTGCCATTGTCCCTCAGACTGTAGTTGTGCTTCTGTGCAGCCTCTGGGGTCAGCTGCCAGTCTGAGATGAAAGGTAGCCAGTTTTGGTCCACATTCCCATGGGTGATAATGAGGTGAAGGTTCCTCCCATCACAAAACCCTCTTGCTTGGGGCAGCACTGAAAACAGCCCAGAGTCAGCAGCTGCCATCAGTTTAATGGAGCTCCTGGGGACTGGCAGCATCCTGAAATGAGCCCAGCTGACAGCAGAGCTCACAGCCAGGCAGGGACAGTTTTGCCCAAGTTCCACAAAGTTTACCTGCAYCTTTCAGAGCTGACAGTGCAATGACTGGGATGACAAAGGTCTCACTTGATGGATGGGTGATGAAGGCCAGCGTGACATTCAGGGTGTACTCTCTCATGTCCTCTCTCATGTACTGGGAAAATCATATTTGGACATGAAAAGTCACCAAGTGATATCATCATTTCCTTACCGTGAGATGCTGCAAGGACTTAGCACACACCTCTTTCTTAACACTTGGTGCATCAAGTGGGACTTGTATCACATATGCTTTGCTTCCATTACTGTATCTGATCCCGTGTATCAGGTATCCATGCTGAACAGCTTCACCTACAGCCAAAGTAACGCCCTCAATGGTTAAGCTGACAAGTTCCACATCTGGGAGGAATGTTCCCACTGTCACATTCATTAGCCTTGCACTCAGATTTAAATCTGAAAAGGAAAAGARCAGCATTAGGCTCTTAACAGTACCAAAACCTTTGGTAAATTCAGTGTTCAGCTACTTACTATTGGTTACAGCAACTTCTACTTGCTCAAATGGTGTTTCTATCTCCTTGATGATAGTATGTTTGGTTAGTCCCCATTTGTCATCTTCCCACTGGTGTTCCAAGAACAGGTTGATGGTGTATTTTGCCCCAAGCTGTCCATTGCATACAGAAGTCTAGAATTTCAAATCAGCACCCTTTAGTATAGCATGATTTSATATTAAAGTTACGTTGAAGCATCTCAAGGTCAGCTAAAGCTACAGCTCCAACCAACTGCCCTTTCTGCTCAGGAATYCTAAACTCTTGTATCCCTGTGAGTTTAGATTATCTCAGAAAACTTCCCAAAGGGAGTCTGAGTAATCTCCTGTTCCCAAGCTTCAAAATAGCAAAGGACTATTTTACAGTGAAAGGGCTGCTCCTGCCACTTCCTTGGAAGCACAGTTGCTACTTTTGCCCAGAACTCYGTTCACCCCAAGCAGCCAGATTTAGATGTGGATCCAGCCCATCCTAATAGCACAYGGTCTGCTGGACTAATGGGTTATTCCCATTCTCTTAAGTGGCCTCTGTAAAATACAACAGAACCCATGCATGTTTTACAATACAGTTAGGAACATCTCCSAGGAGAATGACATCAAGACTAACAGGTGAAAGCTCTGTGTTAACCTGAGGAAAGATAAATCAATAATTTTGCATAGGATTCTGTCTATCCATGCTTGCAAGAAAACAAGTTCTTCAAAAAGTGGTGAGTTACAAAAGCTCACCACTTACAAAAGCTCATCTTTTGTCACAGCTTCTGGGATTTTTAACAAACCCTTTGTTATCCCTCATTTCCATCTTTCCATTGAAAGGAACAAGATGAAGAATTATTTCTCATCAGAAAACAAACAAAAATCCCAGAATACTGCTTGCCTGACACCTAATATAAGCCACTGACCTTGTAATAACCACCTTCTGCACCTATGGGAATCTTCATTGTAATTRCATTTAACTCATTCAATAACACATAATTCCTGGAAGCCATTTCTTTAGCAGAGAGTTTGTGTAGATCCACACCAGCTTCCACATGCACATCCTTAAAGCTGGTCACTCCAGCAGAGAGTGGTGGAATATACTTTGGAACAGTCCAGGTGATTGTTTTGTTCACACAGTCCACACCACCTTCGGGAAAAGATGTGAAAGCTGTCAGCTCAWTAATCACAGGTCTGTTCCTGCACATTTGGCATTGGAGCAGGRTTCCAGGTCCTTACCTACAGGACAYGCCACACCAGTATCCACCATCAGGATCACCCCCTGGTATTTGTAAAGTGTACTCGATCTCAGCACAGAAAAGGYGATTCCCTGATCCTGAAGGAAGAGATCTGGTTAGACCTGCCCAGCCTGGGACCTTGTTGGGCCAGGAGAAGCACACCAACCTCGAGCAGCTGAACTTGGGCAGCTGTGTACGGCACTCGCAGCAGGACCCTGGAGGCTGTGGCATTGAGTCCATAGCCTGCACGCCAARCATTGCTCACGAGCACAGCCCTTTTTTCTTCTGGCTGATGAAACACTGTTTGCCATATTGAGGCTTCTTCTGCTTTTRCCTACCCAGAGAAATTCATCAATAGTATAAACACAATGTTTAAAGGATCAGGTTCACTGTATTGAATGTTCATTCAGATTCATTGAATGATTTACTTTATTGAATTACCCAGCAGTTTTGTTGCCTTACTTTGAATTTTGCTAGTGGGATACCGTTCCAGCTTTCCCCACCTCACACATACAGAAAATTTACCAGTTTAATGGCATCAGAGATTAACTAATGGCACTAACTGCACTGCTGCAGATTCTGCACATACAGAATCCAAGAAGGGTCTTCCCCCCCCCCCCCTTTTTTTTTTTTTTTTCTTTTTTTTTTCCTCCCCTTTTTCCAGGAACAATCTCCTGCTTGAGGAAGACTTGATTTCTTCCTTGGACAGATGGACTACAGACAGACATCTGTATTTCTAATTTATCAAAATATACTAAAGCCACTTGGTACAGAAGTTCTGCTATTCATACTTAAGTACTTTTTGCAAGTTCTGTGCGGTTATAGAAGGATGATTTTGCCAGAGGTAACACTAGCTTTTACTAAAAAGAAAACCTGTAGTTTTACTTCTGGAAAGACAAGAGCCCAGTCCTCAAGCTCATCTTGAATGAAGTCTTTTATAGTCTGTGGACTCTCCCTCCTGACAGAAACCTGAAGGGGGGGAAAAAAAAAAAAACCATCTGTAAGGGGTTTGCTGAAAGCATTTGTTTCCTTGTCTTCAATACCCTACAAAGYCTTTTTCAAGGGAAACCAGCATTTCCTGAAGAGAGATGCCACAATGTCTGGTGTAGTACCTATAGTGTGCTTGATATAATTTTCTTTTTAGTTTTTATCTATCTTCTGCTTTCTATTTCCAGTTAAGACCAGGAGTTTGTTCTTCYCACCCACACCCTCTTCCAAGAGGTGTCCATTTCCCCTTCTGCACTCCTCCCCAGCAAATKCAGCARGGAAACTYCCTTCAGRAAGTATACATCTCTGYTGCCTCAAATAAGATTTGTTGGGGYAATATTCAGTGAGTTCAAYCCATGAGCTTAACCCTTTGAATACCATTTCACAGCTTTATTAGAGCTAATATAGGCTATACAAGCATAATATAAATGTATTACTCAAGATGCACGCTAGCAAGCTGCTCATGGTGGGACAGTCTAAAGCTGATTAGATTCTAGGAATATGTATGGGAAACATATTCCTAGAATATGTTCTTGGAAACCTTGGAAACAGAATCTAAGAGAGCATCTTGCAGTATTTCCCCCCTTACTTTTAGCACTGTCCCATGAGCACTTACCTCCATGTAGCTACTTTCACATATTAACTCCCTGGGACTCCATGGACCATTGGGGCAGCTCACACTTCTCAGATGACTCGTGGCATTTTTCATATCAGCTGTATGAGATGCTTTGATTTGTAGAGTTACTGTGAACATGTCTTTCTGTGTGGTCAAAAAGAGCATTTGCTTGTATTTGATTGAATTTGATTGATTTTCCCTATTTAGGCACCACCTGTCCTTGTGACCCAAAAGCAAATTACTAAACGTGCCCACCAGCCTCTGCACAGAAGAGCAGCTTCATAGTGAAACATTATCACTTGCAAATTCATTAACTATAAGGGATATATGGATATAGGTGTACAGCTACACAGCAACATAAATACTGTGGGCAGCAGGTTTGTTCCTTTCACATAGCCCCAGAAGTGGACACTAAGAGAAAACAAACCTAAACTATGGCTGATTTGATGTTTCATGACATTGTAGCAGTGAACCAGCAACCAAAGCTTGAATTCTTATCCTGATGCGTCTCAAGATGCCAAATATTATTAGGGCAGAGAGCAACACATCTGCCAGATGTAATTCCCTATTATCATCCAGAGAAAATAGCTGCCCTTCAAGAGTACATGTGATATAATTCATGTGTTCATCTGTAAGCCATCCAAATGGCAGTACCATGGAATATTCTCTGACCTCTGGATACATTTGAAGAGAATTAAATTATTTATGCTAAGAGATAATCAAGACATTATGACACCTGTTACTGGCCACCAACAGTTTGTTCATTTCTCACATGAAGTTAGTCTACAAGAGCACTGCAGTAAAAGTGTCTGTAACAGAGTCACCTCCAYGTGAGAATGGCAGCTCGCTGCAGAAGCTCGGAACTCAATGCTGCTCCAGGTGCTGTAGGTGACAGTGTAGCCACACTGGGCTGCCATGGCCTCATCGAGTTCCCAGGCTGTGCCAGAATGATCTGAGGGCAAACAGCAAAGAGCCATATTAACCAATGTAACTAGTCTCTACAAACTCCTGGAGCAGCCTGCTCCAGCCCCAGGGTTCAGCTGAACCTGCTCTGATGCAGCCCAACTGCATCCCCTGGGCTCAGAGAACTGCAAAGTGGTGAAAGAGACCTACAAGGCAAGCAGTATTCTGGGCAAAACCTACAGAAAGAAAGGGAAAATTGCAGGCTCACTGGGACTGGGAACATGTGCAGCTGAAGGACTGAAGAGGGAAAAACCCAAAACAACCAATACGGAGAGATATTAAATCCTAAAGGTGTGAAACCCCTGGTAAGTACAGAACAGTCAGAGGTCATCACTATCAAAGCTGGCAGGAGTGACAGATGACAACAGCAACATCAGGGGCTGACCTGTGGCTGGCACAGGCTCAGGTTTCTCTGATCCTGCCCAGCAAAGTCTCATTATGAGACAATCCACCAGGATGATAAACACACCACGAATGAGCTTGAATGTTTTAGGTCTACAAAAATGTTTTTATGGTTTTGAGCTTTCTATTGTTTTGCATTTTTGTATTTTTGTTGTTTTGGTGGTTTTTTTTCCCCCCCAAAATTAATTGCTTTTTGCTTTTAGGATGTAKGCATCCCAGCTGCAGAGCGTCTTTGTGTATGAGTGAAGATGTCTGAACAAAGAACATATTTAAGTGGGTTTTGACACAACTTTAACCTTCTAGAAAAATGGATGGCATGGAAAGCTCCTTCAAGGCCAAATTTACATTTTATACGTATAATCTTACAGCAGGTGTTTATAGCCCAAAAGTTATATCACTGTGCCCTTCTAAGGCATTCTGCAGTGCTTTTCACAGAAATACACCATTTGCTGACTGCTAAGTCCATAGCTAGAGGGCCCAGCTAATTTTTCTTAAACTTCATTAAGTATATGCCTCTACCAAGCTGAAGTCAGAAGGTGAAAAGACACAAGTGTAAAAATAAGTAATGTGGTACCAACTTCAGCTAGTGAATTTTCAGAATAGTATGTGCCGTTACTGCAGAACACTTACCATAAAGAAAACCCCTCAGCTTTAACATGCCTAGAAACTACCATGTGCATTTCTATTTGAGTCCAAAGATAGCAAAGACAAGTCTAAAAATGGCTACATTAACAAAAAAACAAGTCTACAGTATAGATTTTACAGAAATCCAGGTAGCAGTTGGCTTTACTTACAATGACATCCAACCTCTGTTATGGTAGAATAATTCAGGGAATTTCATAGAAGGACCTCAGAATTTTAAACATTTCACCATGTGTAATTCACTCAGCAAGTTCTTCTGTATCAACTTACCAATAATAGAAAGAGACAAATATTTGTCCTCAAAGTGTTCTGCACTCAGTGTTATCCTCAGGAGGTTCCCCAAGCACTCTGAACTCATGGGTCCTGCGTTAAATGTATTGAAAGGCTGGTGAKTAGGGGATTCAAAATAAGATACAAACAAATCTGGTCCTTCCCAGATTGCTTTGTAAAGTCAGTGTTGTGACAGTCATACATCTCTGGTCAGGAGGGGTTAGAGGTTGTGTTTATACTGGCAGTAATTCCAGGAGAAAAGCTAGCCTCAAAATTAATATCCTAATAGTAATGGTGTCGGATGATTTGGCAATGCTGCCTGCAACAGCCAGTCATGGAAACAGGATTTTGGAACAGGGCCAAAATGGTCCTAGATTGACTGCCTCAATCTGAACTTTAGATTAAATAAAATAGAATATGAGAGACCCACAGACTCCTGAAAGGAGGAAAAAACCCCAACCTCTGAACCAGAAAACTCCAACCAACAAAAGCCCACAAMCAAACCACAAAATAACCAGAAACCAACACCTATACCTCAAAATATTTCTGTAGCACCTAAACCTCCCTCTGTTCACAAGAAGACCCAAAGCCAGTTTGCTGTGGAACAACCACTTTATCTGTCCATCAGCCTACCCTGGTCAATTCCCAATTCCTTTGGGAATTACCAGTGTTTTACACAGTACCCACAGTGAGTAAGGCAGGCAGTTCTAGACACAGCTCTCTGCATCTGCTGCTCCAGGACCAGCTCTGATTTGTAAGGAAGAACTTTTGGCTACAAAAATGGTTTCCTCTGAGACAAATCACTGATATCTTTATAATATTTATTCCTGATTTTGCTGGGATGGAGTTAATTATCTTCCTAGTAGCTGGCACAGAGCTGYATTTTGCATTCAGTGCAAGAATTATGTTGAGAACACACTGAAGCTGTGGTTATTGTTGAGAAGTGTTTAACAAGACAAAGACTTTTCAAGTGGCTCATGCTCTGTGGAGGAGGTGTGCAAGAGGCCAGGAGGTAGCAAAATGGGGACAAATGACCTGAACTAGCCAAATGTATATTCCATACAACAGAGTGTCATTAATCACAYATAAACAGGGGGGWGGTGGCTGRGAGGCACCAATCACTGCTCATGGGATGCAGACTGGGCATCAGACAGTGAGCAACTGTATTGTGCATMACACCTTTTTCTTAGGTTTTATAACTTTAAAAATTAAGATTATTATTATAATTAGCATTATAATATTTTATTTAGTTCCAATTATTAAAATATTGTCCTCAATCCATGAGGTTTTTCCTGATTCTCCTCCCCATTGGGGTGGGAGGGGGTGAGGAATGAGCAAAGAGCTRTCTGGTATTTAGCTACCAGTTAGGTTAAACTATGATGAAAGACATTACATATTGTGACTAACAATACCTACACTCAAGAAAATTAGAATAAAGTCCTTATTCATTCATAAGTACTTGTTACCAGAGCGAGAAAAGGTAGAAACATTTTCTCAGCACRGTGACACACAAAGCTGAGGAGTGTAACTTACAACAAATCCCTGGATGTTTAAAGTTTCTCAGAAAAACMTGCAAGGCTGCCAAAAGAGCTTCAGGCTCTGCTGAAACACACACACAAGTCTAGATATCACCTATGGAGGAGCCTGGAAACTGATGTAAAATCAGTTCATAGCAGTATTACCTGGTCTCTCTTGAGTCCATGCTCCAGAGAATAATATCCCTRTTAGTAACAATCTGTAAGAGAAGACAGGTATTAGCAGCAGCTACAGTTGTGACAGCAACTTGCTAAAAAATTTCTTGCTCAGAAAGTTTTCCTCAGAATATTAAMCTAGTCTTAAGTTTAGAGCAACTGYTCTAGACAAAAATATTAAAAAATGRGATTKCCTTAGTCATCACTACAGAATTAGGGAAGGTAATCTGGAAAGATTAATACATTTAATGCTTTAATGGTTTGGCAGCCATAGACCTCTCACCTCTGCAGCAGACTCAGCTCCATCATACACTTGCTCAGCCCCTACGTGGTACTTCTTTCTTTATAATCCCACACAAACAAAATTCTCCTTTCTTGCTTTACATGGAAATCAAAGCCCCTTTCTGGCTTCTCAGTCTTGAGTTAAACAGAAAGGCTGCCAMCTTTATACTGATGAAACCCCTTTTCAGGTGTTTATCCTCCTAATAATGAGCCTGTTATTCACATCACCTGATTATTTGCTTTATTGATTACATCTGCTCCTACTTTGGTTCCTAGATCTATTTTTCTGTCTGTCAGCTCCTGTCAGGATCTCAAGGCTCAGTTGGTAAGAACAGGGTGCTAACAATGCCAAGGTTACAGATTTGATTCCTGTATGGGCCATTTACTTTAGAATTGGACTTGATGACCCTTGTGGGTCCCTTCCAACTCAGAGTATTCTGTGATTCTGTGAAGCTGGTGCTGTTCTGGTAAAGCATGAGACATTCCATGGATGATGCCAAGTGCCCTCTTCAGCTGGACAGGGGGAAGAAAATCTAAGGAGAGGCTTGTGGGTTGAGATAAGGACAGGGAGAGGTCAGTCACCAGTGACCATGGTGGGCAAAACGCTTGACTTGATAACACTGTTATTCCAGAAATGCTGTCACCATCCCTGATGGGCCAGCCTTGGCCAGCAGCAGGTCTGGTTTGGAGCTGGCTGCTATTGGCTGTTGGACATGGGGGCAGCTTCTGGCAACTTCAAACAGAAGCCACTCCTGTAGTCTCCCTGCTAGCAAAATCTTGCCACCCAAAGGCAACTCACCCTGCCTCCTCTGTGGAGGATTTTGCATAGCCTTCCCTAGACAGCCGAAATCTGCAAGAAGAAAATGTATAAAATGCATTTTAAGGCACTTGGGTTAAAAAAAAAAATAAAAAAATAGGAGCTCTAAGGTAAGAGGTCAAAACTAACAGTAAAAGGGATCATAGCTGGACACTGATGTTTGTCACAAAATAAATGAAGAGCTGTCTTTTTGGGTGAGCTGCAGGATACCTAGTACTCAAATTTGGAGAAAATTAACCCCAAAACCGAGTGGAGGAGTGAATCTGACCACAAACAGATCTGAGAAAAGAACTCTGCCTTTGCTGTGTGCTGAAGGCAGAGAAGTTACACCTCGGACCCCGAGTCCGGGTCAGTGACCATGTCCCACACAGAGCAGGAGGGCACTGTGGTCACCCTGGGTGATGTTGGCAGTGGGATGTCCTGGGGCTGCTGAGCTGMGTGCTGATGGTCAGAGGGTGGCCAGGTGACACAGTGAGCACAGGGGCTGCTGTCCTGTCCATCAGACTGTCAGTGCTGAGCACTATTTGTGCTTGGCAGGGTTTCCTGAGGAGCGCTCAGTGCCGCCCGCATCCCTCTCTCACTGCGTTTCATAGCGAAACGAACCTCACATTGGGGATTCTTCTGTCCGAGGCTTATGCCTGTGACATTTAGGGGTTTTCCCCTTCCTTTTTGCCTGTGAGAAAGCTGCAGGAGCCGCAGTCTGGAGGATTTCTCTGTAGTTAAGCCCGATATCCTGGAGAGGGAGCCGGAGGATCGCCCGGGCAGCGGCTGCAGTTCGGGGATCGCTCCAAACCCTACAAAGATCGCGCAGGATCGCTTTAAACTGGCCTGTATTTGTGCCTGGCATGGGTAACCTCACTGAACCCCTCCCACGTGTTCAAGAGTAAAAAAAAAAAAATATTGAATGTGAAAGCCCAACTTTGCCGTGCTCCAAAACGTTGGCTTTTATTCCAGAAACAAGTGTTCTTCCCAACTGGTTTGTGTTGCAGTTGGTTCCTTCTGAAATTCCCTATATGATAAATTTTTAATTTTAGAGGAAGTTTCCCTGAGAAGCACTATCCACAAACGATTTTATATAAGAAATGGGTTCTAATAATAAATAAGCCMATGATCAGGCAGTCAGGGCTTAAATATCAGATAGCATGACCCTGTTTATTATTGTTGGAACTGAGACCATTTGAATTATGGATTTATTTCACCAGGCAATGTGTTTTTACAATATTACAAAAGGGTTTTTTTTTTTTTTTCCAGAGCTTGATGTTAGGCTGCACCAAACAAGTGCCTGAGATTTCATCTAGTTTGCATGGAATCCATTTGATATTTGAAGAGCTGCACTGTTTACAAGCAAACCACACGTAATGGTAACCTTGGCTCACGGCAGTGTCAAGGTTGTTTATGCTTTTCCATCCCAAACAGATTCTAGCCATGTCTTCATTGCTTCAGTCTGTGATACTCACATGAAGGCTGARATTACAGGACAAAATGGCATTTTAGAAGCATTTTATTCACTCCTTGCAGTTTAAACAGTATCACAGCAACAATTCACTGGAATGGAAGAAGAATTGCAATACTTCTGCTACAACACAGCCTTACCAGACTGTTGTTGAAATCATTACCCATCTAGTTTACCCACACAGTCACTCCCAGTCACTCTTTGTTTCTTTTTTTTTTTTTTTTTTTTTTTTGTTTGTTTGTTTGTTTGTTTAACCCATCAATTATAGATTAATTTCTACACATTTTACATTTCTGGGTTGTGGAAAAAAGCAAGAAGTCTTGTCTGTCACAGTTTAAATTACTAAAGATTATGTGAAATCTAAAAGGCTTCACTCAAACTCCATGGCCAAAATGTCCAGTATAACAGAAAAATAAATTTTTTTGCCTTTCAGTCAGTATCAGGGCAAGAAGAGGAAGAAAGTATGCAGGATTATGTACACCCTCAGGGCCAATAACCATGTACAGTGTGTCTTCATGTCACCAGCCTTTCAGCTGATAWCTGACAAAAAAATGTGAGCAAGCAGGAAAAAAGGAGGCCCATAAAATCTAATATGGCTGTCAAATRTACCTTGAAAGCTATTTTGACTGCAAGCAAAAATGCATACTAAATTAACATCAAAGATAATTCTGTGCTAATAGGAACAGTAAAGGTGAGACCTTTACAAAGTGACCCTTGTAAAACGTCCACCTGGAAATGCATCACTCATTTTCTCCATAGGATTGCAAGGCAAAATAAGATATTCAAACTACTACTCCATCTGTCTCTCTCTGCTAACTCCTCCTCACATCAATCTGTTCCTAGAC